TGACAACAACTGACTTCCTTCACAAACTCTGATGCCTTCAGCCCTTTCTACCTCAATCTCTTGCTACCCTCTACCCCCGCACTATCCCCTGCCCTGCTGTTTTCTGTAACCTACTGATCATCCCTCCCCCCCTTCTACTGCCCAATACCCTCGCTTCCTTCCCTACCCTGCAGCGCTGTATAGCCCTTGTGGCTTAGCGCTTCTTTTTTATTATAATAATAATAATTAATTTTGTGTGAAATTGGTCAAATTACCAGTTTCTGATCACTTTATTGGGTAGTTGAAATAGGTAAGTAGGCAGTTTCTTGTACTCAGTCAATAGAATAGAAGGAGTACATACTACTGAAGTAGCTATGAGTTTGGTCAACTGGAACAATGGAATTGGTCTAAAGTAGGGCTCAAAGTGGGCAAAATTGCCAATGCGTAAATATTGCCGAGACTGCTAACTTTGGAAGAGCGTAATCCCACAAGTTTTTTGTCAAATTTCGTACTTTTTGTTTCATTACCTTCAGAAAAAGATTCTTCCTTTCCTTGACGTACATGTCCACCGCTCGGCTTCAGGCTTTTCTTTTTCTGTTTATCGCAAGGCTATGCACAGAGGCATGTACATTCACTAGTTTTCTTACCATATTCCTTCTGTCAAGAAAAGTGTTCTTATTTCTCTCTGTCCCCATGCCTTTTGCATTTGTGACCCTCAGGTCCTTGAATCAGATATTTCCACTCTTCATAATTCGTTCTATTGTCTTGGCTACCCTTCTGATTTCATAAACTTCCTTCTCATGTGCTGAACAGACTTTCTTCTCCCAGACCCTTATATTTCCAATCTTTCTAATCTTAACTGTTCCTTAGACATCAAACTTTCTTTTTGCCAAACTAACACCCATCGCAGAAATCAAGTTCATACTTCTCCCCCTGCTATAGATGCCCCTGGCATCTACTCTATTTAAGAACATAAGAAAGAAGGAACACTGCAACAGGCTTACTGACCCATGCGGAGCAGGTCCATGCTCCCCCCCCCCAGATTAGCCCAATGACCCACCCAGTCTGGTCACCTCCACTCAAGGAAGGAGCATGGCACCAGACCCAGCAGCACAAGCTAGTCAGGTCCAACTCACACCCACTCATGTATTTATCTAACCTATTTTGAAAACTACACAACGTTTTAGCCTGAATAACTGTCCTCGAGAGTTGTTCCACTCATCCACAACTCTCTTACCAAACCAGTGCTTTCCTATATCCTTCCTGAATCTGAATTTTTCGAACTTGAAACCATTGCTGCGAGTCCTGTCTTGGCTGGAAATTTTCAGTACGCTATTTACATCCCCTTTATTTATTCCTGTTTTCCATATATACACGTCGATCATATCCCCTCTAATTCTATGCCTTTCGAGAGAGTGCAGATTCAGGGCCCTCAGTCTATCCTCATAGGGGAGATTTCTGATACATGGGATCATCTTTGTCATCCTCTGTACGTTTTCCAGAGCATTTATATCCATTCTGTAATACGGTGACCAGAACTGAGCAGCATAGTCTAAATGAGGCCTAACCAAGGATATATAGAGTTGAAGAACAACCTGAGGACTTCTTTTATTTATACTTCTAGATATGAAGCCAAGAATTCTGTTAGCTTTATTGTGAACACTAATGCACTGTTGTCTTGGTTTTAGATTACTGCTAACCAGAACTCCTAAATCCTTTTTGCAATCAGTAGTATTAAGATCTACATTATTTAGTTTATATGTGGCATGGTTATTTACCTGTCCAACATTTAGAACTTTGCATTTGTCAATATTAAACTGCATCTGCCACTTCTCCGACCATTGCATCAGTCTATTCAAATCTCATCTTGTCCTTTCCAATACTTTGGTGAGAGTGGCCGCTCTCTTTCTGACAGATTTGAAGAACACACAAAAAAAAAAAAAAAAAAGCATTAGGCTTGCCAACACCATTAATGCTCTTTTGTCATACTAGAGATCACAATCATCCTATTGATTGGTCCTCTGCTAAAACTGTCTACCCTACCTCTAGCCTTCACAGTTGTCTCATGTTGAAACATCCCTTATACACAACTTTTCTTGTATGAATCTTAGTCCTGTCTTTGTCTCTGTAGATGCCTTGTGCTGTATAGCCCTTGTGGCTTAGAGCTTCTTTTTGATTATAAAATCTGTAATGCCTTCCTTTCTCATTACATTGTTAATTGCTCCAAACTTCAGAACACTTGTGACTTGACATGATCGTTTCTACTTCCCCTACCTCTTCACCTTTTGTATTTTTTTTTCCTTTTTCTGTCTTTTCATTTCTTCTGCCTAAAAGTATGTTCTGTCCTTCAGTTTTTTTTCTCTGTGATTTTGGTCCTACTCCTTGTGGGCCCTTAGCTTTCCTGCAGTGCTCCTTTTTCTTGTCCTTAGACTAACCCCACTTCTGTGACTACCATTCCATTTCTAATACTATTGTTACTACCATTACTATTTCCTCCCTTCACTCTCCTTTCTCTTGTGCTGCTAAACTACTATCCCTACTCTCTGCTATCACTATTACTTCTACTACCAGCCTTACCACTACTGGAGTTTACCTGGAGAGGGTTTTGGGGGGTCAACACCCCGACAGCCCAGTCTGAGACCAGGCCTCATGGTGGATCAGGGTCTGATCAACCAGGCTGTTACTGCTGGCTGCACACAAGCTGACATACCAACCACAGCCCGGTTGATCAGGTACTGACTTTAGGTCCCTGTCCAGTGCCTTCGTGAAGACAGCCAAGGGTCTGTTGGTAACCCCCCTTATGTATGCTGGGAGGCAATTGAACAGTCTTGGACCCCGGACACTTACTGTGTTGTCCCTCATCGTACTTGTGTGTGCCATGAAAGTTCTTTGTACACTCCCCAGGTCTGCAATGTTGCCAGCCTTGAAAGGGGGGTGTTAGTGTGCAGCAGTATTCCAGCCTAGAGAGCACAAGCGATTTGAAGAGAATCATGGGCTTGGCGTCCCTAGTTTTGAAGGTTCTCATTATCCATCCTATCATTTTCCTAGCAGATGAGGTAGATACATTGTTGTAGTCTTTGAAAGCAAGATCCTCTTGACATTATCACTCCCAGGTCCTTCACATTACTTTTCCGCTCTATTGTATGGTTAGAATTTGTTGTATACCCTAACACATTTTTAATTTCTTCAAGTTTCCCATATCTGAGTAGTTGAAATTTCTGCTCATTGAACTTCATGTTGTTTTGAGTGGCCCATTCGAAGATTTGGTTGATGTTCGCTTGGAGTCTCATGGTGAATCGATGGAGGTCACTGCCATGGTAATTCGGGTGTCATCCGCAAAGGAAGACACGGAGCTATGGCTTACATCTCTCTATGTTCAGAAATGAGGATGAGGAATAGAATGGGAGTGAGTACTGTGCCTTGTGGAACAGCTTTTTACTGTGGCTGTTTGGGACTTTACTGTGTTTACTATTACTCTTTTGTGTTCTATTTGTCAGGAAGTTGTAGATCCATCTACCAACTTTTCCCATTATTCCACTATTATTTCCTCCTCAAATGGTCCAAGTCGGACCAAAACATTGTTGTAAGCTTTTTCTCTCTGTGCTGGTTAACTGTGTATTGTGCCTTTCTGTTCTTTCTAATTGTCCTTGTCTGATACACACAGATAAGAGTAGGTAGATCTCGCATAAAGCCTGTGTATAAACCTTCAAGTCCTCTGCTATGTCTTTCCCATGTATTATTATGCATATTAATAGGGAAATGCTTAACCCCTAGGGGTCCTAAAACACCTTGGGAATTCAGAATGGGAAACAATCAGATTTGATCAGAAGTTGAGGGTAGCTCCAATTCCATGGATCAAAAGCCCTTCACCAGTGTCAAGAAACCAACTTTGATATTAATTCTTCATCTGCAACTAACCCCAACCATTACATTACACCACAGTGCCATATCTCCCATATGGGTTGTGCACGTTAATAATGTGAATATAATAGTTACATGCGGCAGATGTGGTTTACAATTATGCAAACCTAATTTAAAGTAGGCATCCACAATTTAATGTCAAAGATATTTTATCAACACAAGTTCACCAGTAATATTTTTGATTGAGGTAGCACTAAAACATTAGGGTCACTAACACCTCATCTATGGGATTATAAGGATGCAGTCAGGGTTTGATTTTGAAGGGGTTAGGGTAACTGCCAAATACACTTCACTAGCACTAAAGCACCTCATCTTGAATTTATTGGTGATTTAACTTGGTATTATATTATTTATATCAAGTGTTTCATTCTTTGTTGATTTACTTTTTTATATTTTTTTATACCTGCAAACACTGAATGACTTACTTGTCAGAATGATCCGAAAGTGTCACTATTACTACTACCCCACCTCAAGCAGTGCTGTACAGCCCTTTTAGGTTCCACTTAAATTGATGATGATAACAGTACCTCACCTTGAAGGAGCATTCAATCATCCTTGAAGATCAACAGTAATAAGAATTTTACATAATCAGATGCTACCATGATTAACAATAGAGGTCCCTTTATGTTGGTGAAGGGTTTGTTATCCAAGAGAACTGACCTGGCCTCAATATCCTTGGGTTGCACCCGATTTCTTCCTATTCCTTAGTTGTATGATGCAGGTTTAGCATTTCCTCTTCAATTAAACTAATATTTAAAAACATTTATAATAATCGAAGTACAGTGGACCCCCGGTTTACGATCAGCTCCCAATGCGACCAATTATGTAAATGCGTTAGTATGTGTATGTTTGGGTGTCTGAAATGGACTAATCTAATTCACAATATTCCTTATGGGAACAAATTCGGTCAGTACTGGCACCTGAACATACTTCTGGAATGAAATAATATCGTAAACTGGGGGTCCACTGTACTTAAGTACTGTAAATGAGAAGATTCTTTTTGTTATTTTTATAATTTGAAATGATAAAAGCAACATTTTTCCTAACATTCAACTAGTCACAGAGTATAAATACAACTTAAAGTAAAATTAGCAGCTAAATTAAATTTTCAGTTTTATTTATAAAGTAAAACAGGTACATTCACATTTTCACCTACAATTGGCAAGATTCCTAGCTTTAATTATAAAAGCTTAGGAAGCACTTAACTATGGACAAATCATCTGCAGTCACTTGCATACAATACGGTTTATCTTTCCCGTAAGCTAGTAGTTGAAAAAAAAAAATGTCCAATAACGAGCATTTACCTGCTATGTATTATCACATGGGAGTAGAGAACAGAAAAAACATAACATTGTCCAAGAATGAACTAAAGTTTCCTGTGCACTAAAATGAGAAACTTTCTCCAGTTTACAAAATAATTAAATAATTTGTTACATACAGTAATTCTATATGTGAATTAAATTTGCTTGCATGATTTGTATGATTTTTTGCTTGAGTAGATGACCATGAAAAACAAATATAAAGCAGTTGAAGATAACAGGTTGCTTTTTAACAAAACAAAACCATCACAACCTGTCACAATACAGGATGTGGTTTACACTACTGCACTTCCTCTTGCATCATCAATTTAGCTTCATAAAATAGTTATATTTAAATGATTGATAAAACATTGTGTACAAGTATTTGATCCAGATTAGTAATCCCTTAAGTGTGTTAATTGAATAAATAGTTCTTTGCCAGATTTTACTTGTACTAATGGTGGCTTTTCACACAGTACAACATTGTAAAACAGTTAAATCAAGACTGTTTTTAATGTAACTACTCAGATACAGTTAATGAGAAGATTATATCACTTGTAATGCTTAATACACAATGATACAGAGTGAATCTCATAAAATACATCCAGTAGTAAAAGATTCTTTAAATTAACTGTGAAATATACAACTTACACTACTTTCATTGACACTCAAAACAGGAGTAGTTGATTATCTTGTGCACTTGCTTCAGAGACTAATATGCTGTATGTAGCCTTGGGGCAAAATAACACTGAATCTCATGTTATGTAGGGTACTTAAGACAAAGTGAATGAAAAAAATGTAAACAGGTTTTTCCTTAACACTGAGGCTGTGGGATTTGCCTCATTCTTGAATTAATAGGTTGTGAGCAATAACAGGCAGTGGTACTATCTTGACAAGCCCCCTGAGCAAGGCTAAAATGGAATTCAAGAATAGAGCAAGAAGTTAAACCTAAGTCAAGCCACCAACTAATCAGTAGAGTAAATTAATTTAGTGGTTTATCTAGGCACCACAGACTTTTATATAGGGAAATTCAGGCATTGAAATGTTGAATCTGAGGTTGTATCATTAGCTGAACTTCCAAGCATCTAAATACCACTGAACTGCAAAGAATCTCGGTATGTTCACATGGCTGTTGGTTTTCCTTAATGTTAGGCTTCTTGAAGGATCCCATATCCAGTCAGTCCTTATGCTGAAATAGAAATTACCATAATTTTTAATCCAATTGGAATGGTAATGCTATGAGTTTGCAGCATTTAAGATGACCAATATTTCTAATAAAATTTAGTGTTATTTAGTAATAAAGACATGTAATATAAATCACGTTTAAGACAAAGATTTTTCTGTGCCATAGCCCACTGGAAAATAGTCTGTACACCTGCACAAAGTACCCCTATAGACCCCCCTGGGTCTGCTGCGCAAGCTAGCAGGCCTCCTACAATTCGTCTTGGTGAAGATTAGCTACAAACTAAGGAAACATCTGGGAGGAGAAAGATCTGTGGGCCACTAAGCTCCATATGTAGAAAAGCACCCTTTACATGCCCTATAGGTTATTTCTGTGAACCAAGGGGTTCCTAGTACTAAAGCATTCTTAAAAAGATTACCTTGAAACAAGGTACCTGTAACAGGTTCAGAATGCACAGAAAAGGGTGTCTGGTCACTATTAAGCCAAGTTAAAAAAAAAAAAAAATTGCTAGTACATAATTTCATAATATCAAGATTAACTTAAACAAGTTCTGGCTAATGAAACCATACCACGGGCGAGGATAGAACCCGCGATCAGAGTCTCAAAACTCCAGACTGTCGCGGTAGCCACTGGTCCAGTGGCTAACACAACGGTCTGGAGTTTTGAGACTGATTGTGGGTTCTATTCCCGCCCGTGGTATGGTTTGTTTGCAATCGTGTCATTACGATTTCGTGAGTCTGGCTAATGAAAGTTTAGCCAGGGCACAAGTGACACCGAGATTTTTTTTTTTCCTAGCTAATATATGAGAAGACCCTAACTGCCTCTTCCTCCTCCTCTAGTTCATAAACTTTCACCTTCTTACTTGCTGCTTCCATTTTCCTTATATCTCACTGTAGCTACAACTAAAAAGTTATCTGATATATCTGTGGCCCCCCTATAAACATGTACATCTTGAAGTCTAACAACAGTAAGATACAAACAACTATTGGAGGACAGATGGCTAGTGAATATAGGCAATGGGGTTGAAGATGTATGGGGTAGGTTTAAGAATGTAGTGTTAAGAGTGTTCAGCGAAAGTTTGTGGTTACAGGAAAGTGGGTGTGGAAGGAAAAAAGAGCGATTGGTGGAATGATGATGTAGAGAGAGTAGTGAGAGAAAAAGTTAGCATATGAGAGGTTTTTACAAAGTAGAAGTGATGCGAGGGAGGAGTACATGGAGTGAAAAAGAGGTTAAGAGAGTGGTGAAGCAATGTAAAAAGAGAGCAAATGAGAGAGTGGGTGAGATGTTATCACCAAATTTTGTTGAAAATAAGTTGAGGAAGCCTAGGGAACGAATGGATTTGATAGTTAAAAGTAGGAGAGGAGAGTTATTAAATGGAGAGTTAAGAGGTATCAGGAAGATGGAGGGAATATTTTGAGGAATTGTTAAATGTTGATGAAGACAGAAGCTGTGAATAACAAGGAGGAATAACATCTTGTAGGAGTGAGGAAGAGCCAGTTATGAGTGTGGGGAAAGTTCATGAGGCAGTGGGTAGAATGAAAGGGGGTAAAGCAGCTGGGAGTGATGGGATAAGGATAGAAATGTTAAAAAGCAGGTGGGGATTAGTTTTGGAGTGGTTGGTGCTTTTATTTAATAAATGTATAGAAGAGGGTAAGACACCTAGGGACTGGCAGAGAGCATGCACAGTTCCTTTGTTTAAAAACAGGGGACACAAAAAAAAAAAAAAAAAAAATTATAGGTTGGAGGGAGGGGGTAAAGGAGGTTTTGTGGGCGAGGGGCTTGGATTTCCAGAAAGCGTGCGTGAGCATGTTAGATAGGAGTGAATGGAGATGAATGGTATTTGGGACCTGACGATCTGTTGGAGTGTGAGCAGGGTAATATTTAGTGAAGGGATTCAGGGAAACGGGTTATTTTATATAGCTAGACTCGAGTCCTGGAAATGGGAAGTACAATGCCTGCACTTTAAAGGAGGGGTTTGGGATGTTGGCAGTTTGGAGAGATGTGTTGTGTATCTTTATACGTATATGCTTCTAAACTGTTGTATTCTGAGCACCTCTGCAAAAACAGTGATTATGTGTGAGTCAGGTGAAAGTGTTGAATGATGATGAAAGTATTTTCTTTCTTTTTGGGTCACCCTGCCTCGGTGGGAGACGGCCGACTTGTTAAAGAAAAAAAAAAAAGTGTCGAGTATACCTGGTAAAGTGTATGGTATAGTTATTATTGAAAGAATTAAGAGTAAGACTGAGATTGGGATAGCAGATGAACAAGGAGGCTTTAGGAAAGTAGGTGTGTAGACCAAGTGTTTACAGTGAAACATAGGTGAACAGTATCTAGATAAGGAAAAAAAGAGGTAAATGCTTAGAACATTTTTCACAATGTAGGTTTGACCAGGATTGGCATATATAGCAAAAATGTGGCATCTGCACCTAAAAAAAATGGACAAGAGAAAAGTTGAGAGAAGCTACAAAATAGGTCCAAAGTTTAAAAAAAAAAATTTTTTTTTTTTACCATATTCACAAAGCCTGAAAAAATTTAAATATCCTTGTTGGTTGATAAGAACAAAACAAGCATGATAACTACTCTTATACCCTTAAAAAAAAGTTAAGCCAGTCTAATATACAGCATATTAAAACAGTATTAGTGAGCTGGAAAATCTGCTGCAAAAGTAGCAAATATTAGTTACTGGACACCTATAGAAGATATCTAACAAAATTTTATATTTTCATATACTTTTACAATATTTTATAATAGTAATGATCAATGTTATAATGCATGAGAGTAGTCATAGTTTCAAGCTTCCACTAATACCTGGAAGAAATTACTGTACAGTGGCTCCCCAATTTATGAACGATTTGCATTCTGGCGTTCCAGCTTAACCAAGTCATTTGTAACACAATGTAATATCCTATATAAAATGGAAGTAAAAATGTAACAATGCATCACTAAAGTTTGTAACTGCAGATTAGCCTTCATAAAACTATTTTCTCGATCCTGTCTTTCGGACCTTGGTCACAAGTGGGACCAATATAATTGGGGCGTCTGTAAATCGGGGATCCCTGTATACAAATACAGTACAGTATTACTACACTGTTAAGATATTACAAGTACTGGCAAAAGTTTAGAGCAATAAGAAATACACTTATTGTGTCTATACATCTGAAAAATACATGCAAACTAGTCAGTTAATGATGAAATATGCAAGACTACAGAAGCTGAAGATGCAGTATCCTTCCACACATTGTTACACACTATTTTGAACTACCTTCTGCCTCTTCATCTTCGGTTTGTGCTTTAGTCAAATTTTCTTTGCCACCTTCCGAGTTGACTTCATTATCTGCTACTGTATCATCAACCTCAACTTCTGTCTCCTCCTCATCCCTGTTTACTGGCACTCCATCTTCATTTTCGGTTGCTGTTTCTCCTGCTCCTATCTCTTCATCTACTGCATCCTTACCCTCTGCAACCACTGTTTCCATTTCGCCATATACTTCTGTCTCTACTGTATCTTCTACAGCATCTGTCAGTCCTTCGTCTGTGACTGAAGGGCATTTTAGAATCAAATGTGTAAAGAATAATTGTCCAGGAATACATGGAACCGCCAGCTATAAATGAAATTACAGTTACTTATTAAAAATTCGCTTCTATAATTCTTTTTCTTTATGATTGCTTTTTTTAAGAGATAAAATAAAAAAACATTTAGCCCTTGCCAGTAAACTACTATAATCAAAATAACTTTTTACCTTCTGCTGCTGGCTCTGCTGGTGCTATTGTTTCATCAGTTGTGGCTTCAATACTTGCCTCTTTTTCATTCTAAAAAATAAAAAAAAAAAGCATCATTTTGAAAAATAAAATATTTTAAGTTAGAAGGTATTGTATTCCATACATGATAATTATAATATTTTACATATTTGTAAAAGCAACTCCATCTTGCTGGGGGTGCCCAATTTTTCTTTTCTAAAAGTCAGAGAATTTCATACAATGCCTCTCTAAAATAGTCCTGTCTCACTTGCATTAGACTCAATTAGTAGTCTTGGTCTTATGCTAAACTAGCGTGAAGACCTACAAATTTCAGTTTTATTAGCAAGACTAATACAATGATGCTGCCAGCCAAATGAATAGCCGGCTATCATTCAGTATTGCAGCCCTTGTGCAACTGCCTGGCTTTACCCTTACCAAGAAGAGGCACACTTCCTCTACAACACTGGAAAACTGTTCATAAAACATCCTTGCAAATATTACCACACTAAGTATGTTATACTGACTGATAACACAATTTTCATATCTGATATACTGGTCTTTTAGAATCTACAAATCACTTTTTTTTATATAACATTTTACTGTACCATGAGCTTAGAACTTGTTCCAATTTCTATAGGAATCTTGTTATCTAACAATATTAGCAAATTATTCTTCCTATTCACTGATGCATAGGAAGACCTGATACAGCACTACTCCCTGGAATAAATGCACTTTTGTACATATCTACACTCGGTCACTAGTATGCAGAATAAGCATGTCCTCATTAAACATATCACATGATACCAAGTTGAAATTTATGGAATGCAAAGTATGTACACCCCTGGGTACTGGTTCCCTCAAGGAAGGTTCCTTGATGCTGGTGAGGGGCTCTTGATCTAGGGAATTGTATAATCCTACGGGTTTAGCGCTTCCCCCTTGATTACAACAATAATAATAATCTGGGCATTGGTAAGCAAAGATGATTAAGTCAGAGAGGAACAAGCAATGACTGCCACAAGGCTGAGGAAGCAAGAAATAAAAATTTGAGTAGCACACATTAATAACTTCATCATTTTCTTTAAATAAAATGAACCAGATTAATCCTGAAGCTCGTAATAGGCAATCTGGGAGATTGGGGTTGGAAAAGCAAATGTTCAGAAAGTTAGAATACCTGTATATGGCAGTCTATGTCACATAATTAAACAATTGGATAAGTTAGTTATCCTAAATTCAGCATCACTGAACCTGAAGGAAATTTTCATAACAGATTCTCTAAGTTTCTTACACATCATTAGCAGTTAATGATGTTTGAGAGTTCTTTAAAGAATCTTAAAAATGACAATTCTTGGTGCTGTACTGCAAAATGGTAGCTGTCACAGTTTCTTCCCTCCACTGAATTAAGAGCAAAAATTAAATATCATAACACTGTTCTTTTTCACTAAGTATCTGATAGGTTCTAGGTAGTAAGTGGGTAAACAGCAACCACCCAGGGAGGTACTACTGTCCTGCCAAGTGAGCATAAAACAGAAGCCTGTAATTGTTTTACATGATGGTAGGATTGCTGGTGTCTTTTTTTTTCTCCCATAAATATGCAAGATTTCAGGTACGTCTTGTTACTTCTACTTACACTTAGGTCACACTACATATGAATGTACAAGCATATATATACACACACCCCTCTGGGTTTTCTTCTATTTTCTTTCTAGTTCTTGTTCTTGTTTATTTCCTCTTATCTCCATGAGGAAGTGGAACAGAATTCTTCCTCCGTAAGCCATGCGTGTTGTAAGAGGCGACTAAAATGCCGGGAACAAGGGCCTAGTAACCCCTTCTGTACAAATTACTAAATTTAAAAAAGAGAAACTTTCGTTTTTCTTTTTGGGCCACCCTGCCTTGGTGGGATACGGCCAGTTTGTTGAAAAAAAAAATTGCAAGATTTCAGGTACGTCTTGCTACTTCTACTTACACTTAGGTCACACTACACATGAATGTACAAGCATATATATACACACCCCTCTAGGTTTTCTTCTATTTCCTTACTAGTTCTTTTTCATTTCCACTTATCTCCATGGCGGTAAGTGACTAAAATGCCAGGAGCAAGGGCCTAGTAACCCCTTCTCCTGTACAAATTAATAAATTTGAAAGGAGAAACTTTCGTTTTTCCTTTTGGGCCACCCTGCCTTGGTGGGATATAGCCAGTTTGTTGAAAGATCTGACAGTAATTTTATGTTACCCACAATAAAATGCTGATACCACTCAGAGCAATCATATCCCTGGAAATTAAATGTTTTATAGAATATCTGAACTTTTCTTAGGCATATATTAGTCATCCTTCATTAGATACTGAAGCAACCGAGCAAGCAAGAGAAAGCCAAATATTGGTAAGCAATGTTTTATCAACAACAGAAGCAATAAAGCATTGTGACATATCCTATTACACACTTCATAACAAAATACTGCTCCCTTTGGTTCAAAATTAAAGTTTATACCCAGAATAGAATTGTAATCTATGTGTTAAAATGTTAATCGAGTACTGTAAATAATGTTACTGTACTTTTATGAAAGCTGATGGCAGCAGTGATAAACTGTAGTGGTAATGCATTACAGTACTTCGTAAGAGGTGTTAATCAAATGTATAGATTCTATCATATTAATGGAAGTACAATAAAAAACAATGCAGTACATGCATAATATATTTTTATAAACACAAAAATTATGGATACAGGTTATTTCTTAATCTACCAATTGTTAAGACATAAGGCCATATTAGTTGAACACTATTTAAAAAGACTACAGCCAAATACTGCCATGATCAAACAGGACAAGACAAGATCCACATTAAATAAATAAGGATTTGCTACATGCTTCTCGAGACTCTCCCTTGTAATGATGCACAACATACTTCTAATACACTATAAATTCAACAAACCTGCTTGCAGTATGACATTTTCTTTAATGTAGCAACTAGTTTACCTAATACAATAAATCAACCTTTATTTTTATTAGCACAAACCCATGAATAAATAAGTCTTTCTATACAGTTTTGTCCTGTTTGTCTTTGTGCTACACAGTGGGAATGGCCATCAAAAATGATACAAGCAAGTGCAGTATGGCCTTAAACCCCTCATTTATACACTACCCAAATATTATAATCTTGCCAAACTCATCCATTTCACTTCCTGTGTAAGCAAGACAAAGCAATTCAAAGGAAAGGAGTGATGGTTCTTAAGTTTGGATTTTTTTTTCCCCCACATACCGAACTGTCTCCCACTGATGTAGAGTGCCCCAAAAAAGAAGAAACACTTTTACCATCACTCACTCTAGTTTGGATTATCATCATCTCCACACTACCACGAAGGAAGCAGGAAAACCAAGAAAGTATATGTAATTAATGTAGGGTATGAGTTGTGCCTGAAAATATTTAATGCACAAGCAAAGATTTAACTTTAAGGGAGAGAAAAGTTATTATACAAACATCTTTCAATCATTCATTTAAGTGACAGGAGTTTTCCTAATACCCGAGTATCAGCATCTTATTTTCCTAGCCAGACTGGTAAAAGGTTGAGAAATTTTAACAATTTATGCTCTACAATCAATAAAATTGTTCTTGCAATCTTTATGTATGAGCATTGGCCTCCATTTACCATATTCATTTCTATCACTTTTCAATCAGTGTTGATACTAATTTTGATTTACTGAATACAGTAAAAATAACTAGAAGATGCTTCAGCTGGAGTTCCTGCTCTTACCTCTTCCTCATACATTTTGCTGACCTAGGTTTTGTTTACATGTGAGGAGGTCACTTGTGACCAAGTTTTCTGAGAAGAGAAAATCAACAAGTGTAGCTCATACTATTAACAATATGAAGTATAGCACTGTACATATATAAGCCATGAAATAAGAGCAGTAAGCTGTTGTAAGAAATGAGTTAGTATAACTCTCATTATACTCGTATATGATATTGGAAAAACTGTATATAATTTAAAGAAAAAAAAAATTGTGCTGAAGCTTTTGATACCTTTAGGAATTTATGTAGGCCTGCAAACTATGATGTTCACATTTTTTTATATAAATGGTTTGCCATTTATATAAATGGACCAAGCCAAGTGTTTTCACAAACTCCTCTAGCTTGAAATAAAGCTTTAACAGAAATAGGAAATGCCACTGTAGTCATCAAGTGAAATCTATTGGTAAAAAGGCATCTGAAAATTATATTGCTGCTAATAAATATTTTTCTGTAGATAAATAAATTTACACTTTTACTGAAAGAGTAAATTATCTCTTGAATAAATATGTACTACTATAGTCTAAAGAGACAGATATTCTCTTGCTTGTAGCAATAAGAATCAGTGGCTGGGGGTAAAAGAATCTATGGAAATATTAACAGTTTGAATGTGTACTAATGCAGCTACAATACAGCACATTCTTGGAAATGGAAAAAGTAATAAAGTAATGGCAAAAGTAATGTTGCCAGGGCATTACTAAGCATACAAGGCAACTTGGATTTTTCAAGAGCCAACCTTCAATGGTTTATAAAATATTGTTATTGAGGAGCATTGCAAAACAGCCAGGCTCCCTACAACTGCAAGCTTTTGCTACTGGTTTATAATTACTACTACTCCACCTGCTGACTAATTGTATTAAAGAGCAATTAAGAGTAACTGATGAACATTACAGCAAATTTTTTTCCCTATCTACAGTTTAATGTTAAGTTTCAGCTTGTCTATATTGACAGTGCTTGACTGTAATCCACTGAAAGACCCAAAGTACTGGAATTTGTGCTGCTTTCACATAATGAAGGAGTGTGTGTTAACAAATGTGTTGGATCATATAATTTGTAATTTTTTAAACAGACTGATTGTGAAGGATGTGTGTGCAATGACTCGTGAAATCATAACACAACTGTAAACAAATCACAGAACAGGTGGGGCTCAAACCCATTGCAGTCAGGTTGCACTAGTTAGTGTGATACAAGGCTCAGTGACATCTATTTGCAAAAATGGAAATGAGATTTCACTTAGGCAAATAAAAACTTAAAGCAGATGTTCATTAGAAAACATTATTTTTTGGTTTGATTAACTTCAGCTTCTGCAGTTTAATTCTGGCATTTGGACACTTAGAGAGGACAGAACAAAATACAATGACAAATTGTTTATAAATCTGAAGTGGAGGAAAAGAGGCTGTCTGAAAAGCTTGGACATCCAACAGGCATGTGTGAGTATGTTAGATAGGAGGAAGTGGAGGCAATTGATTTTTATGACTAAGTGCTGTTTGAGTGTGAGCAAGGTAATATTTATGAAGTATTTCAGGAAAACTGGTTAGCTGGACCGAGTCCTGGAGATGGGAAATACAGTGCCTGCACTCTGCGGGGTGGGAATATCGCAGTTTGGAGGGGTATCTGAACTGTAATGCTGGCAAGTCTATACCAAGACAGTGATCAAATGAGTGAAAGTGTTTCTTCTTCTTTGGATCACCCCACTTTGATGAGAAACTGCTGTTTGCAGTGAAAAAATGCAACTAATCAGTGTTGTCACACATGTAAATGCACAATACATACTGGAAAATTAACATTGAAATGTTCTTGATTAAACTGAGAATACAGTGGACCCCCGCTTAACGATCACCTCCAAATGCGACCAATTATGTAAGTGTATTTATGTAAGTGCGTTTGTACGTGTATGTTTGGGGGTCTGAAATGGACTAATCTACTTCACAATATTCCTTATGGGAAAAAATTCGGTCAGTACTGGCACCTGAACATACTACTGGAATGAAAAAAGTTCGTTAACCGGGGGTCCACTGTATTTCAATGTATATTAAATTTTTATTATTCTTAAAAAGTGATAACCTTAGATATGATTAGTGTAAATCATTGTAGAAGCAGAATACTTTCAGCAATTTTGACAATATAAGTCACTAAACGTAACATAACTGAAGTAATACATTACAGTAACTAGAACTTGGATTATATCAGCAGTAATAATCAGGAAGCCATGCGTGTCATAAGAGGCGACTGAAATGCCGGGAGCAAGGGGCTAGTAACCCCTTCTCCTGTATAATTTACTAACTTTAAAAAGAAAAACTTGGGTGACCCAAAAAAGAAAAACCTGTATTTTTCTTTTTGGGTCACCCTGCCTTCATGGGATACAATTGGTGTGTCGAAAAAGAAAAAAATAATAATCTGGAAATGTTTAAACAAGTTTCAATGTAATATGGCTAATTAAGACAAAGAAATCTGAAAAATCTACAAACTTCAAGTATTTAATCCCATGGTAATAATTTTCCCCACCAATAAGTGGGGATCTTGGAGTTCAAAGGGTCATTTGAATTGTGATGCCTGCACACTTATGCAAAAATGGCTATTGAATTAGTGATGGTGAAGGAGTCTCCTCCTTTAAGTAACATTACCTTGGTGGGAAATAACTCAAGTGTTAACAAAAGTTTTTTTTTTTTTTAAACACACTGGCCATCCCTCACCAAGGCAAGATGGCCCATAGAAGAAACATTCACAAGTTTTTCTTTTTACATTTAGTAATTTATACAAGATTATTATGGGGGAGCTCTAAACCTGTAGGAATTGTACAACAAATTATACAGGAGAAGGGGTTGCTAGCCCCTTGTTCCCGGCATTTTAGTTGCCTCTTACAACACACACGATTTACAGAGGAAGGATTGCGTTAAGCACATGGCTTTTGCTTTATGGTTCTTTCCTAATATTAATCTGTAAATTAGAACTTAGTAGTGAATACAAGAGTAACTTGCAATCCTCATCTTTTTCACATTAGTAGGTCCCCCACCCAAAAGATGCTTTAAATTGAGCTATTCAAAGTTTCAGGTATGAAAGCTTCTAAATTTAGTTGACAAGTCCTTCATTTTACAGTATCTCCAAAGATGTCATTTATAAGCAGTAACCAGAAGTAGCTACAACTGAAATAGAAATGCACATAACTTATTATTTATAAGCGAGTGAAAATTTTCTGAGACTAGAGGATAATACAATATGGATTAACATATTTTGTAGAACTTTGTCACCTATGTTCATGGACTGTATATGTTTCATTGTAAATCTATACTATGATGCACAGTCATAAAATGAGTTACTGTAGCTTCATATTTGATACTCTAGTAATCTTAAAATGTTAAATCTACTGATAAAATTATCATGCCAGGACATCAATTTCAATCACTAGTTACTGCTTGATATAGTATGAATCAGCTCTCAGGATACAAAATGAACACCATTGATAGTTATAATAAATCAATATTGTTCACATTACAACCTGAACCACCTTCCATTCAACATAATCTTGTATGCTCTTGGTTTAAACACAGTGGGAGAGTTGCATACTGTATTGTACTAAAGATACATTGATGCCTTAAGAAAATACTCTCCTGTAATACAGTTAAAATATTCCACTCAAACAGCAAATTATTTTTAGCATATTTTCCTGCAACTATGAAAAGCCAAATACATATATAGTATAGTTCAGATACAGTACTTAAAACTATAAGAGATGACAAGATTTTACACACTAGTCCTAAAATTGTTTGAGAAGATCAACCTTGTGCTGTTAAGCAAACAAATACACCTAACATTACAAGGAACTATACTATTTGGGTATTTTTCAAGACAGTATTGTAGTTTATACAGTTTCATTTATTCTTACCATACATGCAGTTTCAAAATCCCACATTCATAAGACTGGTAACAATTACTGTTCACCAAGCAAAACTACACAGACAATCATGTGCAGTAGCACTACTACAGCCCCAATAGGATGAATGGAAGGCTGAATGTTCCACATCTGAGGCTTACTGCAAGCTGGGTTAGTGCACCCCTACCTCTAGACTGGCTGAAACACCATTGGTCAACTGTGATGTCTCACTCTGTCGCTTTGCCTTCGCTCTGTCTTCAGGAAGGATACCAGTAATGCCAATCTTTATGCCCTTCTTTTCTTCCTCGGTCAATTTTAAGAACTCTCCAAGTGAATCCGTTTCATTAGCCATATCCAAATCATCAAAGTCCTGAAAAAAATTGAGAAATAAAGTAATACTGTAATGTTACACATTCCATCCATTAAATATGAATACTTACTGTAAAACTGCTTCAAGGTTAATGAATAAAAAGCATCTCAGAGTTGCTAAGGATTCATCATTAGTCCCAGGGTAAATATGACAGAATAATGTAGGATAATGCTCAACTCTTGTAAAAAAAATAAACAAAAAGCTAAGCTAAATATTACACTATGTAGTAAGCGTTTGCCAATCATTTTCCCCAGTTTGCATAACTGTTTTGATAAAGGGAACATTTTTTCTGTAAGAACTGATATCTACAGTCAACATGCTAGGTTCAGTTTTATAGTAAATACATTAGTTCTTTTACATTAATATAGTTTACGGTTTTATACAGTAATAAAATTTATGGTAAATACAATTTTCCTATTAATAGGGTTGATTTAAACAAATGGTAAGAATCACAGCACAATACTCTTATATAAAATTACATTGAAGAAATGTTATCCTGAGACCAACTGCAACCATCAGCATTTATGATATTAATTATATTTATATAGCAAAGAAACAGCAAATATACATTATCAAAATAACTGAATCAATTTTTTTTATACACACATGCATAAATTTCACATTAATTATATACGTCACAAACTTACTCCACAGTACTCAGCCTCATTGAAAATCTGCGGTGTCATGGGAACCCTGTTGTTTCCTTTTGGCTTTGCATTCTCATTCATGTAATCTTTTGCATCTTCTTGACCAGGGTCGGTGATATCTATGGCGATGAATGGGATGTTCTTACTTTCAAGGATCATAACAGCGCGCTGTTGGTTTTTTTTAACCTGGAATGATAAAAAGAACTTTAAATTCTAACCTTTGAATGTAATCTACGCTTTTATTTTTTGGTTTCAGGTCAAATGATTGTTGTACCAGGATTATTAAATCTGAAATATAACTAGTTACTATCAAGTATATTACCCTATAATCAACAGAATAGGTAGGAATTAAATTGAGTGTACAGTACATATCTCAACCTAGATCATGAAGAAAATTATAGTACAGTACTGTAATTGTACCGAGATGGCTATGCAGACCTCAGACCACTGGTAGCAACAGCCTGATTTACCAGGCACTCAACGAGGAAATCTGTCCTTAAGGCAAGCTGGAAGGATAACCCTTGAACCTGGTCAAGGATAACATAAGAAAGAAGGAACACTGCAGGAAGCCTGTTGGCCCATACTAGGCAGGTCCTTCACAGATCCATCCCACTAATAGAATATTTGCCCTCATAGGAACTAAGGAACAGTGCAACAGGTCTACTGGTCCATGCGAGGCAGCTCCAATTCTCCCCACTGGCTTAAGCCAAAGCCTTGACCTAGCGAGGTCAGACACGTCACTGCGTCCGACCTAGTAGCTAGTCTGGTCCATTTCACACCCACCCACACCCACTCATAAGAACACAAGAAAGAATGAACACCGCAGCAGGCCTACTGACCCACGCCAAGCAGGTCCACGTGTCCCCCCCGGATTAGCCCAATGACCCACCTAGTCAGGTCACTTCCATTTAAGGAAGGAGCACGGCATCAGACCTAGTAGCACATAACCCTTGAACCTGGTCAAGGGTTATCCTTGTTGTTCAGGCTGATTTTTGGAGAGTTGTTGCAACAACAAAACTTACATTCTGTTAAACTGATCTATACTTTATAAGTCAAGATAAGAGGCTGCTTAAAAAAAAAAAGCACACCCTATACATAGAAGAGAGGCTGACCAGAGGGGTAACTATGGGGGGGGGGGGGGTGAAGGACTGAAGATGGGAGAGATGGGTTTTAGGAAATGGGGGAGGGGGTAGGAGTGCTGAAGAGTTAAAGTTACAATAGGCAGGGTGCCAACTGATGCTGTCCCCCCAATCCCACAGCTACATAGTGTGAAGGTGACACCTTTCCCCCTTTCACCCCACTGTCACTTGGACTTCCAAACAGGACAAAGCTAGTACCTACCTAGTGATGGCACCAGCTGGTGAATCCTTTGTATCATTTCAAGTTGTTTGAAGTTAGCCTTCACTTAATATTGCATCTCACGATATATGAAACTACCCGACACTGGACTGTCATATGGCGACCCACTCAGTGATGTCATTACCCCTGTGGTAAGCACATAATGTAGCATCCGCTTGCAGGCACTGCCTTTGACAATAAGGTCTACTAACATAGCTAAAACTAAGGTAGCCAGTGGCATGCCTCGGTGATCGTTGGCTCACCAGTGGGACCTACTCGTCCGTGTAGCCATAGTATTAAGGCGGAAAGAAATTAACCTAGTTAACAACTCAATGTGGAACCTAAAATTGTCTTGAGTACCTTGGGAGATTATCATCCCCCATATGGCTTGCTTTCTGACCTGACGTCCTGGTTAACTACCTGATCAATAAAGCAGTTCACAACACATCGGTAATACTGACAAGTATGTGAATGAGGCTCTAACCTAACCCTTGGGCACGATCTACTTCCACATTGAACAAATGTGACACCACCTACGACTGCTGCACCTTTCCTGCCTACGGTTTATAAGCTCCTTCTCCGCACGTATGCCATATTCTACTCAAGATTGATGGACTGACCACATCGACTCAAGGTTGAGGGACTGATTGCCTCATTCTCCTCCTGATCTTCAAGATTCTCCTTTGTATGGACTGATGAAGCCACTGTGTGGCGAAACGTTTCCTCAATAAAGTTACCCAAGAGTTGCACGTGTCTAATTTATCATGGTATACAATACCGGCAAGATGAAGAATTAGACACGTGCAGGATCTGGGTATCTTTATTGTAGATGTTTCGCCATCCAGTGGCTTTATCAATACAAATTCAAGGACATAATTGGAAGACATTAGAACTATATACAAAAGATGAGGTAATCAGTCCCTCAGCCTTGGGGTTGGTGTGAAGAGCACCGTAGTCATGAAGATTCTGGAATCTTCATGACTACGGTGCTCTTCACACCAACTCCAAGGTTGAGGGACTGATTACCTCATCTTTTGTATATAGTTCTGTCTTCAAATTATGTCCTAGAATCTTATTGAAATCCACTGGATGGCGAGAAGTCCACAATAAAGATACCCAGATGTTGCACATGTGTCTCAGTTTTCATCTTGTCGGTATTGTATACCATCCTTGTACAAACTCCTCTCCTTACCCCTCTCTGGACTGAAAAAGCCACTATGTGGCGAAACGTTTCCTTAATAGAGTCCCATATGTTGCATAAGTGTCTCAATCTTCAACTTGTCGGTTTTCAAAACCATTTCACATTGTATACCCTACCTGGAGTCTACCCGGAGAGCATTCCGGGAATCAACGCCCCCGCCCCGATCCACGACCAGGCCTCCGGGTGGATCAGGGCCTAATCAACCAGGCTGCTACTGCTGGCCGCACATAGTCCAATGTATGAAGCACACCCAGGCTGATCCGGCACCGACTTTAAGTACCTGTCCAGCTCCCTCTTGAAGGCAGCCAGAGGTCTATTTGTACTTCTCCTTATGGCTGGTGGGAGGCTGCTGAACAGTATGGGCCCCGGATACTTATGGTGTTTTCTCTTAGTGTACCAATGGCGCCCCTACTTTTCACTGGGGGTATTTTGCACTGCTTGCCCAGTCTTACTTTCGAAGGAGTGATTTCTGTGTGCAGATTCGGGACCATTCCTTCTAGGATTTTCCAGGTGTAGATGATATGATATCTCTCTCGCCTACGTTCCAACGAAAACAGTCAAGTGCTTCCAAGCGGTCCCAGTAGTTGAGATGTTTGATAGGTTGAGCGACTGATTACCTCATCTTTCGTATATAGCTCTACTGTCTTCCAATTATGTCCTTGAATCTTTATTGATAAAGCCACTGGATAGCGAAACGTCTACAATAAAGATACCCAGATGCTGCACACGTGTCTAATTTTTCATGTGAATGAGACTCCGAGAGTAATAAAAAAAAAAAAAAAAAACTCTTGAAACTCATCCAAGGAGGCAGTCAGCGTTAGGATATTTTTATGAGGACATGTTTTGCCCATCATGAGCTTCATGTAACTGATAAAAGTCCATGGTGGGCAAAAATTTATCGCTATAAGTAACCTAACATTATACGGGTGTCTCATTAACATACAAATCCTGTTACTGATCACAGTTCGATGTAAGTAGGTCAGGCAGATAAGTCTGTAAGAACTTTTCATATTTCTCTTGGAATATCTGAAGGGCTGATGTTTAAAATCTTTCACTAGTTTTATGTTCAGCAAACTATGGAATACCTACAGCACTCCTGATTTCTATTGGCCCCTTTTGCATCATTTGTCATTCGAGGAATAAAGAGTTAACTACTTTAAAATAATGGTAGTTATATTATAATATATGTGTCAAAAGTTTTTCATTACAGAATAGAACTTGGAAAAATGAAAAGGAAATGTCACTTCTGAGATCAATGTGACTTTTGCAAATTAGAAAGTGAATTAGAAATTATAAAAGTAGACAACCTTGATTGTATGACGGGTATTATTCAAAGCACTTCAGGGCGGTTATAGATAGGGTTTTGTCAGAATGAATGAAGCAATGAAGGCTTATTAAGATGAATAAACCGGGGATGGATGGAAGATGTAAGAGAGAGACGAGGATGGGTTGGAAAGTGTGGTGGTGGTCTGCAGGGGTAGTGGTTTAATTAAACATTCAGCAGGCTAGTGCGTGTCTTGTAACAAGAGAAGTGATCTTCGGCATTTGACATATACAAGCACAGTTCTATTCCTGCAGGCATGTAATTACAAATTCAGAAATGCACATATGCCTCCTGAATGTTCAAGCACCTACCCATCAAAACCTTCACCTCCCGTGAGAAATTCAGAGTATTCCATCCAGGTGAAGCGTATATAAGGACCCACTTAGTGCACTCTACAATACAGTTAATCATCACTTTTTCAAGGCTCGCGAGCAGCCCAGTGAAATCCTGACTTATTACGAGGATGGGCTAGGCTTGTGTGTAACACATGATTGAATAAAAAAAATCTAATTAATGCGACAATTTTGACATGTGTTCAGTGCTCGCCGTTTTCCGTTCGTTCCAAAAAAAATTATCACTTTTTCAATTCAGTATAGATATTTCCTGAAGACAGTGAAGATGAGGTAACCAGTCCCAGGCTAGGGGACTGAACACCTCTCAAGGTTGAGGACTGATATCTTCCAATATTTCTAGAACATAACCGTACTGAATTTAAAACGCCACTGGTTAGAGAAGCATCAAAGATACCCAGGAGTTACACACGTGTCAAATTCAGTAGCTTAAGTCTGTTTAATGCAAAGATAACTAAAAGACCAATGAAGTACAATTAAAAGTTAATACTTATTGAAAACGAAAATTAATAAATTAATCAATATACATAATACAATATAACTAATTTAAACAAATACAAAGGCAAATCGTAAGTTAAAATCCAAACAGTGCATAAATGGATCGATAAAGTAGCAACAAGAAAAAAGAACGACAAAAACCACACACAAGCACGAAGGTACAATGTTTGTCAGGAAACAGGACAAGTGTTTCCTGACGGGGGTCTTAGTCATACGATGACCCACAACTGGATTATTATTATTATAATCAAGGGGGAAGCGCTAAACCCGTAGGATTATACAGCGCCTTGGGGGGGATGTGGAAGGCATTCAGGCTTAATTCGGGGAACTGGAGCACAGTTCCAATTCCCTAAATCAAGAGCCCCTCGCCAACATCAAGGAACCTTCCCTGAGGGGACCCACAGCTGGAGCTTTTGGTCATCTGACACAGGACTTAAAATGGCTTACTGGTCCACCTCTTTAAAAATCATGGTTA